TTTTTATGTAGGCAGCTTGTAAATATTTCAGCACCTGTGTATATTCATATCTAAAACAAGTAATAATAGTAATAATATTTATGTGCCATTTTGGTTTCGATGCATGAACAATTTTTGCCACAATCTTACTTAAGTCTGTCACAAAAGTATCAATAGTTGTCAAGCAGCTTTATAGCAGAATTTAGTTCATAACGTATAAAATTTGCTACTATGACACGGTTATAGAACTGAATTGAATCAACTAAATTGAACTGAATAATGACATTGCTTTTTTTGTAGAGCTGATTTACAACTGAAATTGAAGTCATTTCATTACTGAGGAATTTTAACACTTATTTTCCTGTTTATTACTGTAAGGCCCTTTGAAATCTGTGTATTACTGTATATAACTTGTGACTTGACTTTTAACATTCCTAATATTATTGTATCTTTGTTAATACAAACCCCTCACCTGCATGTCGAGCTCCTGACAGCGCTGTGCCAACTCTTCTTTCTCTGCCATGACTTCAGTCAGATCCTCCAAGGCTTTCTTTAACTACCAAAAAAACAGCATCATTGAACAATACTACAATATACTACATTTAACAACAATATCAACACTGACTTTCTCACACTGACACTGTGATGATGTTATATGTCTGTATTTCTTACCCGTTTTTCAACATCTCCAGGATATTCTGTTCCTAACTGAGACACAGTCTCCTTGCTCATAAGCTGTAATCAATACAAAAAGCTTTGAAATTCATTTTATTCTTTTTTAAAGAATATATATATATATGACCACTTAAAAACACCTGAATAAAATGAATCTGACCTCCTGAATAGCAGTCATCACCACATGCTGTACAGATTCCTCCAAAGTCATGATAATCTGGACATAATCTGAACAACAAAACAATCTCACAAGGTTAAAATAATGAAATATATATGCATCACCAGGAAAATAGCTGTACATAATGATAGTAAATAACAACATTTTAAGGTTTGGGTGAACTATCCATTTAACTACCTTGTTTCCTGTCACATTTGACTGCACACCCCAGGATGAGCTGCAGGAGGCGTCCCAGCTCTACCTGATCAGACTGCTCTACCACACGCACCAGATCAGGCAGAGGGAAATCTGTGATCTTCTGAGCCAAAACCTGAACCCAAAGTGATCAGAACACATACTCATTATTAGAATGAATCAGTTTAAGCAGTTATTGAATCTTTGAAATAAATAATGAAAACAAATTGCAGGCATTAACACAGTCATACAATTAAACGTCCAACATGTGACTGTAGGAATGTGTGAATTCAGAATGCTTTGTGTCAGATGAAAGGCTAATTCTGAAAGGTTCAATAGGTGATTGTCTTCAGAAACATTTTTTGTTATGCTGGTTGAAAGTCTCTACACATCCCGATAGCAATCATTAAGTTAAGTGGTCGAAATGTATTTACCTGTATTTAAATATTTTGTGTAAAGCGTAGGACCAAGAAATGTTCGTCCAATCAAAACGCTCGGTCCGAGCGTTTTAATTGGCTTTCCTACCTGCCTGTCAACGTATGTATCTGCATACCTCTGCGCACCTTGTTCGCGCAGACAGGATACGTCATCAGCACGTTCATGCACGCCGGTGAATGACACATGATGTAGCCCAGCGGTTCCCAATTCCAGTCCTCGCGCCCCCCCGCTCTGCATATGTTGCATGTCCGTTGAAGTTTACTTCATTTTGGAACATTCATTCATGGATTTGTGCTGTGCAGCGTCTTCACACACAGACGAAACTTACTAGAGAAGTGTGAAGTGTGACATAATATACCTCTGTAAATAAATACCATTTAAATTTACATCTCGCACAATTTAATGCCCTCTGTATGGAACATATACGCTCGCTTCGAACTAGAATCATGGCGGAATATACGGTGATGTCCACTTCGCAGGGCACTTACGGTCAAAAGGTGCATTACCGCCACCTACTGATCTGGAGTGTGCATAGATTTGGAAGAAAGAAAAAAAGACAGAAAAAAAACTAGATTCTATCTATTATTGGGAACCGCTGATGTAGCCTATTGTAGTAATGTTGTCTCTGGTATTCTGGTCTGAGAGCGTATATGCGTTCAGGGGGTGTGGCTTTGGACGGCGATTGCAGGGAGGGTGGGAAGTTCGCTTTCAGTGCTATCAGGCTAAAGTTAGCATTTCCCAAGATCTCCTACTGCACCTTTAAAGTCTGACTGATGATATCTGAAACAGTGTGTCATTTACCTCATTATAATAATCAACAATCCTCTGCAGGATCTTTTTTAGATTGTTCATCTGTAAAAATGGAGAGAAACAAAGACTTTAGCTTTGACTAACACATTATATTTGGCATGTTCTCAAAATTAGATTTAAGCACAAAGGCATAAAAGAAAAATAAGTCTACCTTGAGTCTCACATTATCTCCAACATCCTCTTTAATGCGGGCCAGCCAGCTCTCATTGAACCATGAAGGATCTCTGTAATTGAAATATACTGAACAGTGCAGCACAGTCTTATCTAATTCAGATACTTTTAGAGGCTTTCATTCAGATCAGTTGGCAAAATGAAATCAAATATATTTTGTTCTTATCCCTTCCTACTTTAATATAATCAGAATTACGTCACATTCTCAGGCTCTCCAGACTCTCTGATAAATATATATAAATTTCACTAAACTTGAATGTTTATTCAACAAAAAATAATGTGTTTCAGGTAGACATGTGCCGGTATTCGGTAATGCGATATATCACGATAATGAATATGCACGATATTGTTATCGTGGGCACTTAATTATAATAATTATTTATTACAAATTATTCCGAATTTTGAATGCATTTTAAGAATACTTTTCCCATCAACTGGTCACAACACTGCTGTATGCTGCGTCAAACACGCATGCGCACTCAGATATAAACAAGCACGGATGAGAAGCGCATGGCGGAATGCGTGAGACGCTCTGGATGAAAACACATTCACTCTCTGACAGCAGATGGCGCTGAACAGCAGAAATGCAGCCGTTAACCCAGAAACCCCAAACCTATTTAAATGATTTAAATAGCCATTCAGATTTTTGTATTCGCTATGGTGTTAATCACAGCGTCAAATACTTAGATATTTAGACTTAACAGACTATTTATTTTCAAACTTTTTTACATTTTAATCTGGACTACAACCACTGATCATTATATATAGATCAGTGACTACAACACGCAAAAAATATTGTTTGAAAGTGTTTTGATTCTTTATTGTTCGTCACACTTTACATTAGGGCTTCATTAGTTGACATTAGTTAATTCATTAGTTAACAAACTGGCAATGAAAAATTCTTCTAAACATTCATTAATCTTAGGTAATTCCAATATTTAATAACACATTCTTAAAATCAAAAGTTGCAACTGTGTTATTTAATGAACTAACATGAACTAAGAGTTGTATTTTTTAACAAAGATTAATATGCAAATGTAGGTATTGCCCATTGTGAATATTAATGCTTTAACTAAGGTTAACTAATGAGATCTTATTGTAAAGTGATACCTATTGGTCTTTATAATTCTTTTGCACTTTAATCCGTGTAGTTTTTTTTAATTTAGCCTATAAATTTTTTTTGTGTATTGCTTTATTGTTGGCCTATTTAAATGTTCAGTTATTTTTGTTATAAAAAATTATTAAACCTGTTATACTGTATTATGATAACACTTTTTTGCAACTAAATTTCAATATCGTGATAATACCATATACCGTGATAAAAGTATTAGCAATTAATCGCAACATGAAAATTTGATACCGGCATATCCCTAGTTTCAGGTAATATGACTGAGGACTACCCACAACCCAATGCAAGTCATAAAATATTCACACACTGACAAGCTGAGATATAAATCTGTAATGCTGACCTGGAAAAAAATAATCTGATTTAGTAGAGCAAGGAAGGAAACAAAAAATGGGGGCGAGTGAGAAATGTAAAACACAGTTAAGTATGAAAGGATGAGTCAAAGAAACACTGCAGATCAAATGGTAGTACATGGCACTAGCAACGTTGAAGTCATGAGTAATGAAATAAATACAACGAAAGCTATATAAGTTGCGTTGAATAAAAGCATCTGCCAGTGAATAAATGTAAACACACTCACATCTGATGCAGAGCCTGAGACATGGCTGCCCCTGAGGTCAGATCCTTCACTGTCTTACAGGGGGCTGCAGTTTTGAAGGTTTGCAGCTGAGGCATATACAAAAAAAAAGAAACAAACGTAAACAGTACTATAATAAACAATGATAAACTCAGTGGTGTATAAAGTACCTGAAAGCCATACTCAAGTACAGATAGTACAGATATCTTACCAGAAAATTACTTTGGTAGAAGTTGAAGTCACCGTTTAGAATATTACTTGAGTAAAAGTCTTAAAGTATGTTATATTTATTGTACTTAAGTTCGAAAAGTATTTTTTAAACGTACTTAAGTATTGAAAGTAAAAGTACAAGTAAATGCAAAATGGAAAAGAAGCAAATAAATATATATAAAAAATGTTCATGCACAACTTGAGTAGCAAGATTGTGTTCAGTTTTAACGCTTTCTTCCATTTTGTATTTTTGGGTAAGAATAAGAAG